CAGAACAAAGGTGTTGCCTCAGTTTGCATCTCCCCAAAATCATCAAGAACAAACCTTAACCAAATGGACTGTGCTGTTGCCTCAGATGCTGAGACATACTCAGCTTCAGCAGTTGATAGCGCAACTGTGTTTTGTTTTACAGATGCCCAAGAAAACACTCCACTGCCAAAACTAAATGCATAACCAGAGGTTCTTCTGCTATCATCTTCACTTCCTGCCCAATCTGCATCACAAAATCCAATGAGAATTGCAGATTTGTCCTTCACATACTCAATGCCATAGTTAAGAGTCCCTTACACGTATCTTAGTACTCTTCGTGCAACTCCCAAATGCTTCTTGGTAGGACTATTCATGAACCTTGATAACAAACTTGCAGCATACATCAGGTCAGGTCTAGTTGCTGTCAAATACAGTAGACTTCCTACTATTTTCCTGTAAAGTCCTTCATCAGCTAATTCACTCCCATCCACTTTCTTTAGCTTTTCACCAGTGGGCAAAGGAATAGACACTGGTTTGCAATCTTCGAGCCCAAATTTCACAAGTAAAGACTTAGCATACTTACTTTGGTGTATAAACACACCTTGATCAGTTTGCAATATTCCCATGCCTAAGAAGTGATGTAGAAGGCCGAGATCAGACATTTCATATCTTTCCATCATTTCCCTTTTGAATTCAATGAGCATCTTGTCACTACTTCCAGTGTATACAATGTCATCAACATAAATTGACACAATTATCAACCCTCCTTCATCATCAGATCTTGTATATAGTGTGGCTTCACTTGTGCTCCTTTTGAACTTGCACAGTGAGAGATATGCATCAATCTCACTGTACCAGGCTCTAGGTGCCTGTTTAAGTCCATATAAGGCCTTCCTTAACTTATAGACCTTGTGACCTGCATTTGCCAACTCAAAACCCTCAGGCTGCTCAACATACACTTCTTCCTCAAGTACACCATTTAGAAATGCTGACTTAACATCCAACTGAAATAGCTTCCAACCCTTTTGTGCTGCAAGAGCAATGAGAGTTCGAATTGTGTCTAACCTTGCCACTGGTGCAAAGGTTTCATTGTAGTCAATCCCAGGTTTTTGTGCATACCCTTTTGCTACAAGCCTAGCCTTGTGTTTTTGAACCGTTCCATCCAAGTTAAGCTTAGTTTTAAACACCCATTTCACACCTATAACTGGTTTACCAACTGGTCTCTCAACAAGTTCCCAAGTATTGTTCTTTTCAATCATTTCCAACTCTGCATTCATAGCTTCTTGCCAGGCTTTATCACCTACTGCTTCTTGGTAGTTCTCTGGTTCTATAATACACATGTGACATCTTGCATATATATCTTCTAGAGTTCTGATCTTTACTGGAGTGGAGCTAGGTGTTGAGCCTTGGCTGTGACTTCCACTATTCTCCTCAACTGATTCATTAACAGTGGTGTTTGAATGAGTATCTCCAGCATTATTAAACTGATTTACATCAGTTTGTTCTTCACTAACTTCATTTTCTGCTCCGTTCCCTTCAAGGTTGAGAGGTATTGAGATAGACTCCCCTTGGTTACTTTCCCACTTCCATGATTTGTCTTCACTGAAAATCACACTCCTTGAGAGTACAATTTTCTTAGATTGCAGATCATACACTCTATATCCCTTTTCACAGCTTCCATATCCCATGAAGATCCCCTTTCTGGTTTTGTCATCAAATTTCTGCCTCAAGGGTGATGGGACATGAGTATAACAAATACAGCCAAATACTTTCAGATGCTTAATTCCAGGCTTCCTACCTGTGAAAGCTTCGAAGGGTGTTTTATCTACCACGGATGTTGTGAAGCATCTATTTTGGAGATACACAGCTGTACTCACAGCTTCTGCCCAGAAAATCACAGGAACTCCTTTCTCAGTCATCATGGATCTTGCCATCTCACAGATTGTTCTATTCCTTCTCTCAGCAACTCCATTTTGCTGAGGAGAATAGGCAATGGTTAGTTGTCTCTCCATTCCCATGTTTGTACAGTAATCCAGAAACTCATGTGAGGTGTATTCACCACCTCTATCACTCCTTAATTTCTTCAAACTAAAACCGCTTTGCAGTTCAACAAAAGCTTTGAATTTCTTGAACACATTGAAGGTATCAGATTTATTTCTGAGAAAGTAAACCCAACACATTCTTGAGAAATCATCAATGAATGTGATGAAATACTTATTCCTTCCAATAGACTCATTTTGCATTGGTCCACACAAATCTGTGTGTACCAACTCAAGTGGATAGCTTGCTCTCCACACTTTTCCTTTGTCAAATGGCTCTCTGTGTTGTTTCCCTGAAACACAACCTTCACACACATCTTCCATTTCTGTCAAAACAGGTAATCCAAGTACCATTTCCTTCTGTTGCATCTTCTTCATGCTAGCAAAGTTCAAATGTCCAAGCCTTCTGTGCCAGGTCCAAGAGTCTTCAATTACTGATGCTTTTCTTGCTGCAGGTGTCATAGATTCTAGTGAGAGAGGGAAACATCGATTTCCTGTCATGATCACTTTTGCTACAACATTGTTGAGACTTCTATCATCAAATATGACTGCCATATTACCCCCAAATAGAACATAGTATCCATGCTCCATCATCTGGCCTACACTTAGTAAATTCTCATCCAAACCTGGAACCAACAAAACTTCATTTATGTATCTTTTTCCATGCTGAGTTTCAACCACCAGAGTGCCTTTTCCAGTTGCTTGTACAAGATCTCCAGTGCCCATTTTGACTTTACAAGATACAGATCTGTCAATGTTTATTAACACAGACTCTTGAGATGTCATGTGATTACTGCAAGCACTGTCCACAAACCATACACTTCTATCTTGCATAATTGAGGAATGACAAGCATAGAACATGGTTCCTATGGTTACTTCTTCTTCTTTTGCACAGTTAGCTACTTGCTTGTGACTATCACAGTCCTTTGCAGTATGACCAAACCGGTTGCATTTTCCACACTTGGCTTTTCCTTTGTATCTGCACACACCGAAATGATATTTCTGACAAACTTGACACTGTGGTTTCACATAACCTTGACTACTACTCCCTTGCTTGTTCTGAGAATTGAATCTATTGTTCCAATTTCCTCCAGAACTGTTGTTCCAGTTTGAGTCATTGTTGTTGTTCAAGTTTCCACTTTGAGACCAATTTGATCCCTTTTTGTATTGTCCCTGCCATTTTTTATTTGATCTACTCTGTGAACCCTTGTAGGTACCCGTAGCTTGGTTATTTCCAACTCTGAGGCTACTAAAAGCTCTCTCAATTCCTGTCAATTTATCCCTTTCATCATGCAGATCCTCCCTTTTATCATATACTTTGACAGATGCAATGACTTCTTCAACTCTAATAGCATCTAGATCTCGAGTTTCCTCAATAATGGACACAATGGATTTATACCTCCTACTTAGACTCATTAATAATTTCTGCACAATTCTTTGTTCAGTCACATCTTCACCAAGAGATTTCAGATTGTTCATAATTCCAAAAAACCTACCCAAATAGTCATCTAGGTTTTCACTATCTGTCATTCTCATATACTCAAAATCAGCCCTAACTGCTTGAAGTTTTACAGCTCTTACCTTTTTATCTCCTCTGAACTCTCTTCTCAGAATGTCCCATGCCCCTTTTGCAGTCTTCTCATTTCTGATGCGAGGGAAAAGCTCATCGGTTATAGCTCCTTGTATGAGACTCAGCGCCTTGGCATTCTTTATTCTGTCTTCTCTGGAGATGGTAGGTGCTTCCACTGGAACTTGCTCAGCCTCACTACCTTCATCTCCAGAATCGTCTTCCTCCTCGAGAATCGGCTGTGGTTGTACTCCAATCTCTACTACATCCCATAGGTCATGTGCTATGAGGACAGTCTCCATCTTGACAGCCCAAAAATCATAGTTTGCACCATCAAACTGTGGAGTTCGTAAATCTCCACCTGAAGAACCTGATCCCACCATTTTCTTGGTGAATACCAGTGAACCAAACAATAAAGGAACCACCTTTATCCCCTTTTGGGAATTTTTCAGGAAGAACCTCTCTCACAGTTTCACGCCCCTCTCTGGAATCAGACCTAGAGCTCTGATACCATGTTGAAATGGTATCAGGCTTTATACTTTAGGTTGATTAATACACAAAGATTGAAGCTTTAAAACCAGAAAATCTAATAAGGAAGAGCACAGAGAGTAAGAGAATGTTTTTGTATATTTTTCTATATCTGAAAAGGGCAGAGAATACAAGCTTATATTCCTCTAATCAGTCAAATGCTAAGATCCTATTTTTCAGGGAGCAAGGACTCATCTCCAGCCATACATACCATCGGAGGCTACGATTCTTCCACTTGGAGAAGGATCGGGTAACACAGTACATCCCAAACAGATAAGAATAACAGCTGTATAGATTTCTAAAACAAGAAATAAAGCTAGCCGTTACAAGTTTAAAAACTAACGGCTATTTCTAAAAATAGCAGTTCTTCAAAAATAGCAGTTCTTCATCTTTTCGAATTCTTCATTCTCTTCACTTTCAAATTGCAGGATTGTCATCTGCAAATTGATTTAAGCTCAGTATGCAGCTTAATTCTCAACGGAAAGACGGGCTATAGTCACTGACAATGGACTCAAAAACAGAAGACAAAAGCTAATGACATTTGTTGCACTAGATTAGGTAAAACGGCTTAGCAACGGCTCTACAACTGGGTAGGTAAAAGGCATATGAATGGCTATAATATGGGGGTTTTAGTACTGATACGGCTATCCAACCTAGTGGCTAATGTTCAATTTTCTTGTAGTAACGTTTTGTGTTGTCGGACTGTAAATTTGAAGTATTGATCATGTCTATTTTTGCTTGAATACTACTCATCTCTTGTATAAGTCTCTAACCTTTAATCCATTAATGCTTGTGAGATGCAGCAAGTATTCATTAGAATGAACGAAAGTCAGCTGGTAATTAGATACATTGGAGTTTTCGGGAGTGGGGCGATATTCAAACCAAACATGGCACAAGACCAATCTAGCTCTGTCAATGTTTGGGTCGATAGTGGCCCGCCTGACTACGTTAGCAGGCTTATTGCTGGTTCCTTTGTAATGCTTCAACCTACACCCATCCTCAATCTCTTACTTTCCAACTATTTTCTTTCCCAGAGCTCCCTAATCACAACGAGCTCATATTAACATCATATTTTCACAGGTTTCAACATCAATCAATGGTGATGACAGCCCTCGAGTGTTTATATACTGGACTGTAAGTTGTGAGCTTTTAAACTTGTATTATTATTTTTTATGTTTGGTGCCATGTTTTGCCGTGTCGTTATATGTTAGAATTTAGATGTTTTATGACTACGTTAATCTGATTACAATCAAATTATACTAATCCACTCTATGTATATGTGGTTCAGATGAATTGATAACGTGGTAAACATATATAGCGCATCACTCTCTTGTCTAGAAATAGAACATTCTCTCGTAATTGTAGTACTAACCCAAATTTGTGCATATGAATAATGTATAGTTGGATGCGGATAAGACGGGATGCTTTGATTCGCTCTGCCAGGGATTCGTACAAATCGACCGAAACGTAGGTCCTAAAACTCGCTTTGAGCCAGTGTCATCTTTTGGTGGAGCAACATATGATGCCAAATTCGATATTTACCAGGTAAACCAACAATCCCAAAGAATTTTATGCGTTAAATTGTTTCTCCTAACTTTGAAATAATTACCGACTAATGACTAATACAGTAATACTTCTTTTCTTAATATTATAAAAAGTTTCAAGTTCGAATATCTCATCGCCATCACTAGAACATGAAGTCATTCAAATATGTATGGAGTTATGGTAATGCTTATTCTTGTGTCAACTTGCAGGATTATATAACAAAAAATTGGTGGCTTGTGATGACAGACAAAAACATTAGCGTAGGGTATTGGCCAAGGGAACTAGTTCCTAGTTTGGAAAATGGGTCTGGAGATGTGGGATGGGGAGGAATTGCCATGGCTCCAGAGAACGAAGATGGGCCCCCGATGGGGAGTGGCCAATACCCAGATGGCACGTATGCACATGTTGGGTACTTCAGAAACCTGCATTTCATGAAGGGTTGGCATGAAGGACTTGGATTGTCTGCCCTCCCATTTCGGTACTATTTCCGTGTTCTTCTGTTTTGTGTGGTCACAGTTAAGCCACGTCAACATTTTATATTGTTTTTTTATAAAAATAATAAAACAAAAAGAAATAGTAATATAAAATATTAACGTGACTTAACCGTGATCACACAAATAAAAGGGCACGAGGAGAGCACCGAAATGGAAAGACAGACAATCCAAGTCCTTGGATGAAACCAAGAGCTCCAAGAGATGACGATCCTATGTGGGAGTACCCAGGAGAGTTAAGCTGTTATGGCTTGCAAAATGATAAAGATACTAGGGACAACTTTTGGGGCTATAGATTTGGTTTTGGAGGACCTGGTGGCTGTGGTTGAGGAAATAATTACAAACTTGATTAGTTTGTTGGAGTTTACAAATTAACAGGATTTTGAAATAAATAATATCAAATAAAATTCCCCTATGTTATCCCGTTAAAAGTTCAATAGAGGATAGTAGTATTCTTCTCATTTTTCCCTATTGCTGGGGTGGTCACACGGTTGTCTAACGGACTTCTGCCACTTTTCTTTATATATCCACAACCTTCTCCGTCAACTTTTGGTTATAATTATTATAAATTTAAAATAGTGGTTATAATTCTACATGGAGTTCAAATTTTGGTTATTTTTCCAAATTTCCCGTCAAAGATGAAGAATGTGACGATCCGTCCCTAATTTTCCTATGTAATTTCTCCCTGATTATGTGTATTGACGGTTATGCCCTTATTGGCAAGTAACGTGGATGTATTCTTATCGCTTTCATTTCATTTCTCTCTATCGTATTTAAATTGTACACATTATTACGAGTGTACGTAAATTTTATCAGTGTGAAAACATTGTTCCGGATAGATTTTCAATACTCTTTTCTGTACAAAATCCAAAACTCTATCCCTAACTTTTCCTTAGCCCATCCCGTGCACCCTCCTCCATTATTTCACACTCTCACCAATCCCGTCCACTCCCTCTTTGCAGCAACCAATCAGAAAAAGGAAAAGAAAATTATTCTCTATGTCCTCCTTCTCTCTCTTTCTCCCATATGCTCTCTCTCTGCAAAACCCTCCAATGAGCTTCAAAGCTCGCAGATCGAACCCAAAAACCACACCATTGTACTTCTCTTACCTTCTCAATCACATCCATCTTCTTGAAACCTGGTTTAGACGAGTTTTGACTCGTTAACTCGGAAGGTCCGAACTCGGGCACACTGAGTTCGACGTGTTTTCGAGCAAGTTAGGAAGTTTTGAAGCTTGGGGAAGCTTCTACCCAACTCCTCGAGGCTCCTACAACAATTTGGGAGAAGTTTGGAAGTGAAACGACCGAGTTTCGAAGAGTTCACCTTTGGCCGAAAATTTCAAGGCTTTTTCCAGCGACCTTCATCCACTTTTTGAACTCCAAACAGGTATAACGCGATTCTACTCTTCACGAGCTTCAAATCCATATAAAGTACGTCAAAAATGGTTGAGAAATGAATGAGAATAATGAGTTTGAAAATTTTCCAGAAAATTGGTAAAAAATCGAGTTATAGACGGCGGCGGACGATGGCGATGGTGAGGACAACCGGAGAAGGAGATGGAATAGTCCGTCAAAGTTAACAAAATATTCCTAACAGCGTCAGGTAACGCCGTTAAATTCTGTTAGCCTTTAACGGAATATTTCATGGAATATTCCTGATGGCGTCAGGCCCACTGACAGCACTGGCCTGCTCGTAGGGGCACGTCTGGCAGTGCCATTGCTGACGCGTGGGGGCTCGTGAGCCATTCAAAATATATTCTAAAAATTTGGGGATGTTCGTGACGTCGAGTAGGTCACGATAGTATATTTAAACCCTAGGTTTGAGCAAACTATGGGGGGTTTTATTTAGATTTCTGTATATATGCTTTAATTAATTCTATTTTAGTTATTTCACATATAGGGGAAATGTATCCCGAGGACGTTTGAGTGAGTGGGCAGTTTGTTTTTATACCTATACATATTATAGTTTCCATGAATGCGTATTTATTTCATTTTACGCTTATATTGCCTAGTATCATTATTGTGATATGAATTCTGATAAATGCTGCTATATGGTTGGGATATTACTGTCATGACATTCATATATATTTGTACATGCTCATCTTGCTGCACTAGTGTTAGTACTCGCCCCAAGGCCAGGGCAAATCTTTCACGTGTATGTTCACATCACACCGTTCGCTCTCCTTGGATTCAAGTTAGGTGCCAATCATGTCAGGTAGATTGCATTAGGCAATCCGACTTGTATGTGATGTGCTTCTGCACCAGTCTTCACATGATCATAGTACTAGAGCATATTGATTACATCCAATCCTGTTCGTGTCAAAAATTATCTGTTCGAACTCGTGTGTCAGCTTAGATGGATAAGCACTTAGCTATACTTGATTATCACATGATTATATTGTTGTGGCATTTGATACATCATGACTTGGCATATTTCTGGTTATATTACTGTTGTAATATATGTTGATTTATCGTTTACATACTTGCGTAGTATGCTTAAGGAAACTATACTTGTTTTACGGCGAGGGGTTAGTATTTTCAAAAATAAAGGATTTCGTATAAACATTGTTTTGCTGACCCACTCAACTTTGTTTTTCGCCCTTCCAAGACCTAGATAGTTGTACTCTTCGTGGCACTTGAGGAATCTTGGCAGTTTTGACATTCTCTTCTGTTTAGACGTACGAACTTATCACGGTTATGTAATAAGTGTACTTAGTTACTTTGACTACTCTTCTGTAGTCTCACTGCTTATTACGCTCTGAATAAATTTAGTGGGTTCTTCCCACGATTGCGCACTCTTTCACTATTTAGTATACCTATTTCTAAGTAGCTTTAATTTTATTCACTTTTTGCATCACTTAACTTTATGGTTGCGTCACCTCATGGTGATGGCTAGCATGCTTCGACCTTTCCAAGTCGGGGTGTGTCAAAGAATCTGACAACTCTCTAGTCTGGTAGTATTATTAGGCCATCTCCAACCGAAGGGTCCAGAGGGCCAGAAGGCCAAAAATAGCCCAAAAACCGTCTCTAATTGAGGGCTAGGCCAGAGGGTTGTGGAATCTAAGAAGGCCCCACGAAATTGGAAAGGGCTGGCCAGAAAAAATGGAAATCCTGTCGATTCTAACCGACAGGAATGCTTTGAATTTTTTTTTAACTGTTTTATTTTTTTTTTTATTTACAAATTTTTTCCTATGACTTCTATTTTTCATATATTTTTTTTAAATTCTATTTTTTTTCCTATAACTTTTATTTTACAAAATTTGTTTCATATTTTTTTTAAATTCCATTTTTTCCTATAACTTCTATTTCACAAAATTTGTTTCATTTTATTTTAAATTCTATTTTTTTTTCCCCTATAACTCTATTTCACAAAATTTGTTTCATATTTTTTTTTTCCTATAACTTCCTAAGCCATTATGCAACATTAAATTAAATTAAGTAACATGAAACAACATTAAACAATATGAAACAACATTAAACAACATTAACCAACATAAAAATTATACAACATAAAAAAAACATTTAACAACATGAAACTTAAACAACATTTAAGTTGTAGTTTTTAAATAATAAATTATGTTTGGCCCTATGGCCCTTTGATCCTCGGTTGGAGACGGTTTTTTGTGACAAGGTTAAAATGAGCCCTCTGGCCCTTTGGCCCTCGATTGGAGATGGAGGCAAATATGGTCCTGTACTATTCATTAAAATATTAATATCTTGGAGGGCCAGAGGGCTAAAACGAGTCATCTAGCCAGCCCTCGGTTGGAGATGGCCTTATCTACGTACGCAATTTGTAGCTTTTTAGCATACGAATAAAATAGGAAACGTGGAAAAAATACTCTTGCGAACATCACTAGATTAATGAATTATGAATATCTAGCTAGCTGAGCATGAATAATTTGGGATTGAAAGTAGAGTGATCGACAATTATTCTACTACTGGTGAATGGTGATTGTCGTATTCCATTCATGCAAAACTAACCACAACCAGTGGCGGAGCCAGAAACCAGATTAGGGGGCCCTTAAGCCATGGAAAGAAATTAGCCTTTAAAATATAATTCATGAAAAAAAAAATTAAGGATTTTGTTTTTTTGTATTTGCATTAAAAGTTTTAATCAAACAAGAATGGTGGAGCTTTAAATTTTGTATGAAAATCTTAGTATTAAAATGATTATATCATAAGAACAAAATTTGTTACAAGCTTTGATAAAAAAAATAAAAAATAAAAAAAATAAAAAGAAAAATAAATTAACACATTAGTTTCGATTATTCCAACAAAAATTTAAGATCGTGACTTAATTAGATCTTGCTCTAGGCTGTATAGGCATTTGATTTATATCGACAGGCCAAAAAAGAGAGTATGGTTTTTATATGTTACATAAGGCTAATTATAATAAAGGGGTGTGATATCCACACATCCCATTTTACTTCTCACACACCTTTTTAATTTTTGGCTGTCGAATCAGATGAATTGAAGAAGATCAACGGACAAAAATTATCAAAGGGTATGTGAGAAGTAAAATGGAGTGTGTGGATAGCACTGTAAACACGAAATTTTCCTGAAACAAGCGAGACAAGAACACGTGCACAAAATAATATTTTGTATTTGATGATTTTGGTGTTAATGGATTTGTAGGGTTACAATCTCTTTCAAATTTGATCCTCTGATTCAATCTCCGTAAGGTGTGTATTTGTGGATTTGTGATTGATCCAAGGGCCGTCAAGGCTTGATCTTCGATGAACGGTTGAAAGTTTCTTCAAAGGCCGTTGAGGCTTGATCTTGAATGACGGTGATGAACTGATTTTCAAGGGCTTTTGGGCTTGATCTTGAAGAACAGTGATGAACAGATCTTCAAGGGCTTTTGGGCTTGATCTTAAAGGACGGTTGGATGTGTGGATTTGTCGACGTTGTTGATCCAAATGGTCATTGGGGCTTGATCTTAGGATGAACGGATGATGAATGATGAACACTTTCTTCAAGGGCCGTCAGGGTTTGATCTTGAATTGGTGGAAGTTCTTTAAGGGCCTTTGGGGCTTGATCTTGAATTGGTGGGAGTTCTTCAAATGGGCCTTCGGGGCTTGATCTTGAAGGTGGATGATTGTTGATCCAAGGGCCGTCGGGGCTTGATCTTCGAAGAACGAAAAGGGCTTTCTTGATTCTTCGAAAACCTGGATGCTTGAAAGCTTCGAAGTTTCAGAGCTTCAAGGTTTTGGTGTAATATCAATTGGTTTCCCTAAAATGAATGAAATGGCTTCTATTTATAGAATTTTCCAAAGCCTAATTTTGAATATATTATTCATATGAAATAAATCGTTTCTGCCAGGTGTTGACATGTGTCATGTTTGATGACTTTTCTGATGATTCTCGATTTTTTGTTTAGACACATGCTACGTGTAAAATTTATGTAATACATGAGCGTTGAAACTTTGATTTATCGGTCAACATTTATTTACCGAAATTTCGATGTCTACAAATGCCCCCACTTCAAGGCGCGTTGTATACATGTGATTGTCACGTGTAGGAGATGTGTTTTGAAGTCCCTTACTGTAGATGTCGATCCAAGGGCCATCGAGGCTTAATCTTGAATTGGGCTGGAGATTTCTTCAAGGGCCTTTGGGGCTTGATTCTTGAAGGTTGACTCAAACACATGGCAAGCAGGCACAAGGTGAAGGTGACGACTTGTTGCTTTGTTCAATCTTTCTAATTCACACCTGAGCAGTTGGGTCAACAGTATGATCTTCAAGATTGATGGGCCCTTCTTCCAGTTGGTGACTTGATCTTTAAGGATTTGATTCAAGGGTGGTGAATCGGCACGTGCAGCCCACAACGCCTAGCGAGTCGACCCAAGAATTTGAGGGTCAAAACGAGTCATCCACCCAGAGTGATTGCAACCCTGATGATATGAGATACTTTTTATTTTGAAGAAGTAGCAGATGAATCGGCACGTGCTTTGTTGTGCTTGTCTCCACATGCTTCAATGTATCATTTTCCCTTACCTTATCTGTTCTTCGAGCAGATGTGGTATCTTCTCTGGAAACATAAGATGTTGAGATAATGGGTACTTCGAGAGTAGTGCTAGGTAAACAATCAGGGAAGGGTTCCAAGCAGTCTGTTCCAGATCGGAAGATTGATACCAAGTGCTGGCTGATTGCTTTCTTTCTCCTTGTCCCGCAGGTAAGAACAAGGACAAAGAAAAAGACAGGGAGAAAGCATGATATGAAATACTCTTGTTTTCGAAGAAGTGGTGGCGATTTGACAGCGTTGTATATCGAGGCTTTGCTCTTCGGCGATGGTGCCATCAATATGTTGTTGAAGCTTCTCGAGCTCTTGGATTCAACTCAGACTCCTTCTGCTGGGTTGGTCGATTGTGTAGGGAAGGGGAAACTTGATTTTGAAGGAAATCAGCACGTTGTCTCCACATGCTTCAAGGTATCATTTTCACTTGCCTTATCTGTTCTCCAGGCAAATGTGGCATCTCCTCGAGTTTCTCAACTCAGACTCCTTCTGCTGAGTTGACTGTGCAGGCTGCATTCTTCTCTGCTTGTTTCTTCTACACGTTGTCTCCACATGCTGTAAGGTGTCATTTTCACTCGCCTTATCTGTTCTTCAGGCAGATGTGGCAGCTTCTTTGGAAGTACAACAGCAGTGGAAGACGAGTACTCGAAAGCAATACCATGTAAGCAACCAGGCAAAGGTTCCAGGTAGTCGATTCATTACCCGAGTTTGAGTGGAGGTTCCGACATACTGCTTTCTTTATCCTTGTCTTTGCAGGTAAGAACAAGGACAAAGGAAATGACAGGGAGAAAGCATAATATGAGATACTCTTGCTTTTTACCCTGGTGATATGAGATACTTTTGCTTTAGTGTCATTTGTTTGCAGAGGTACCCCAAGGAATAAGGAACACTGAGTGACTCGAGAGGCTTTGCTGGGAAAGCATTCTCGGAGATGAAGAAAGGTTCTGTATGTCTGCCTTACTATGGAAGGTGAAGGTAGACAGTTATAGAAAGTTCTTTAATACCTGTAGAGGTACTATTCTTTCACTCGTGTCGACAACCATTGAGTGATTGATCAGTATGGCTTCACGTGCTTTCTTCTTCATCAGAAATCTTCGACAAATTGTCTGTAATTTCCGCCAAGCTGAGTGTGCATGTGACAGGTGTTAACGAGGCTGAAAAAGCCTGGCGCCTCTTCGATATCTAGGATCGGCGCTTCGACAAATTACCCGTGATTTCTGCAAAGCTGAGTTTGCGTGTGACAAGTGCGGACAAATCTGGAAAAAAAGATTGGCCCGTGGTTTCTGAGCAAGCCCAGCTTTTGAGAAAGCTAGCGCCTCTTCGATTTCTGAGTTCGCCTCTTCGATCTCTGAAATCCCGTCGGGTGCTGATTTTTTTATAGAGGTACGCATGACATTTCAAAGCACACTTGAATTTCTGCCTGTAGAAACCCCCTTTTTGCACTTCTACGATCTTGACTTGTCCGACCTCTTCTTTCTTTCAACACCTTTGAAAATGTCTGGCCCCTCCGACCGTCATTTTGACTTGAACCTTGGTGAAGAGGCAGTCTCGCCTTCTCCAGACAACATATAGCGCCCATCCTTCATATCCCCTACTGATCCTCTTACCGTTAGGGATTCGGTGATGAAGAATGATATGACCGCTGCAGTGGTGGCCAGGAACCTTGTCACTCCCAAAGATAACAAACTACTTTCCAAACGGTCTGATGAGTTGGCTGTTAAGGATTATCTGGCTCTCAGTGTGCAGTGTGCAAGTTCTGTGTCTAATATGGCCCAACGTCTATTTGCTCGAACCTGTCAAGTTGAATCATTGGCGGCTGAAGTGATGAGTTTCAAACAAAGATTAGAGGGCTTAAGCGTGAAAGCAGAGAGTTACACATGCTTGCCAATAGTTACTCGACGAGCATGAAGAGAAAGCTCGACCAGCTGCAGGAATCCGAAGGTCGAATTCAGAGTGACCATCAGATGTTTGTGGCTTCACTTTAGAGGCATCTATTGCCTTCGTCCTCTAGAGTTCTACCGAGTGTTAAGGCTCCAAACAGTCAACCTCCGGTGCTTCTTCTTCCTGGAGCTTCGCCGAATGGTGAGGCTTCAAACAGTCAACCTCTGGCGCCTCTTCTTCCTGGAGCCTCGCCGAGTGGTGAGGCTTCACACGAGCAACCTTCGTAAAGGCTCTCTCCTGTTTGTTTGCACATTTTTTTTTGTAATTTTTTTTTTTTCGTGTAAACGTACGTTTCTGTAAAAAAAAATTTTAGAGAAATCAATAAACGAGCTTTGTTTCACTCAGTGTACATTTGTGTGTGTGTGTGTGTGTGTGTGTGTGTGTGTGTATATAGTGCCAAAAGCATAAAGAATTTTTTTTTTTTTTTTTTTTTTGCAGATGGTGCCTGATGCACCATCCATTTATTTTATATATATATATATTATATTTTTTTTCTCTTTAATCATGGTGCACCCATTTTTTCCACATGGTGCCAGACGCACCAAAGATCAAACTTTTTTTTTTTTTTTGCCTTTAATCATGGTGCCAAACGCACCAAAGATCAAACATTTTTTTTTGCCTTTAATCATGATGGGCTGGATGTCGCAGAGATAGCTGACTGATCCTCGGAGAGCCTGAGCTTCTTCCTGCACACCTCGTCATCCTCTTCGTCGCTGATGCCACGAAAGTCGTTTCTCTCGCTCTGCTTGCTGCTCCAAGGTGTTGTTGGGGAGAATGTATCAAATGATGCACTGTAGCACCACCACCTGCACCACAACGCTGCCGTTGCAGGTGAAGTTGGTCGAGAGCTTGGAGCTTGACGCAGCCGTGGAAGAAAAGACGAATGAGTGGAGTTCGTGGTGCATGCAGGAAGTCTCGGCCTTGAAGTGGACGAGGGCACGATGAGAGCAGATCCACCATTTTTTTAAAGGCTTTGCAGAGCTCTAACCGAGAGAAGATCCTCAGCAAATCCCTGTCACCCTTGGCTGGCTACTTGTGTTCTTCTTCACTCTGATGCTGCTGCTGGTGCTATTTTCTTCACGTCGGTGGACGAATCCATGAGCTTGCGGATATGAATGAGATTCGCCTAGAGGAGTTGGCTGCTCAGGTAGCAACATTGGGGAAATGGGGGGTCCGTTTCCGAATCGGGTCGAGCAGAGCGGACCGGAAAGTGGATGTTTGGAAGGAAAAACCATAGCCTTTTGATCTTGCTGTGAACTTGTCGATGATGACAACGACCTCCAGGATCTCCCCGAACTGCTCGAAATAGCGTCTCATGGTGTCGACTTGAGTCTTCCACGGCAATCCTCCAACAAAGATCTTAGTTTTGGTTGTATCACCAAATTGTTTGCCATTGTAACCGTTTGCTCCGACCTTAATCATTCTTACTGATATGGTATACGCTTTTGGCAGGGAGCGGATGCAGCGACAGGTATGTGGAAGCCAACTTGTTCCAGGTGTGCGCACCATGTGCAGCACGTGAGGTTTGGTGGAAATTCTGGTTCAGGATCTCTAACATCGGCTGAAACGTCTTGGATTCGACATCAAAGAGCTCAATGTGTCGAAAATTCTTACCGGGCCGGCGAGTCGCGATACCGATTCGTTTACCGTCGTGGAGAGCTGCCGGAGTGAAGCAGTGGAGCCCCGATGGAGTGACTCGAGTGGGAGTGATCGGGAACCCAGAAGAGGACTCCAGATCCTTGGGAAAATGGAAATCGACCCGGAAAATGCTCCACCAGCCGTTGTCATGTTGGCGGTGAAAATATATGACGAAGTCGCGATGCTTTGAATACGACGATATCGGTGTTGAGGATCCTTCTGTATGCAGGTAGACACAAAAGAACAGAACTCGGGGGAGAACTGATCCGGATGAGCTGAAGGTGGTGGACTTTCCACAATTGCCTCCAAAAGCTCATAAAAACTTGGCCAGCTTTGTTGATCTTCAGATTGCATGTAAGGAAACCTCCCGATAGCACACTCCAGTACCACCAAACCTAAACTCCAAATATCACAGCTATAGTCATAAGTACTCCCGCTAATTCTCTCTGGTGACATGTAATTGTAAGTACCAACAAATGTGTCTTTTAGATAAGGGATCCGGGTTCGGAGTGTAAGAGCTGGGGATGGGGGAGCGACAGGTGGGCCTGGCTATTGGGCTGTGTTCCTTAGCCAAGGCCTGTGTGCGGATGGAAGAGAGAGTCGGGCCTACGAAATGATGGAAGGCCTGAGCTGTGACTCCCTTTCTTGTTGATAGAGACGAGGATGGGGCGACCCAATTCCTTTTTTTTTTTATGTTATTTTCTTTTCTTTCTTTTTTTTTCTACTCTCTTTTTTTTTTTTTTTTTGCAGAAACTATATTCCTTTTTTTTTTTTTTTTACAAAGTAATATTTTTGCATTTGTAATAAATTTGACTTTCAATAATAAAACCCTTATTTTTTTTATTGTGATGTGATGAAAGGAATCTTTAATTTTGAGAAGACAGAGCATGATGCAAGGACCTCACGAAGCTTCCAGAGATGGGGTAGTGCTTGTGCAAGAGACTGCAACGAGGTTTCTCTGTGTAGTGCCTTTTGTTCACAGTCTTTTTCCCTCGGTGGTGCGCTGCCATGCACATTGACCTTGCTGCCTAGAAAGACCGTCTTGTAGCTGCCCTTCCTTTAAAGAAATAAAGTATTCACATTTTTCTTTTTCTTTTTTATTCTTCAAAGTGTTTGTGTTTTTGTTGGTGATGTGACTGTACTTGAAGTTTTGAAGTTTCAAGTTGCCTACGTACCCTCGGTTGAGGAGGGATCAAGTCATGACGTAGTTCAAATACATTTTTTTTTTGTCGTACGCAGCTTCAACTCGTGCAGGCAAGGAGCTTTTGGTGCCGTTTGCAGTTTCAACTCGTGCAGGCAAGGAGCGTTTGTTGCCATGTACAGTTTATGCTCATACAAGCGAAGAGCTTTTGTTGTCCCCTTTTATGCTCATGCAGACAAGGAGCTTTGGTTCGTGCAGTTTAGGCTCGTACGAACAAGGAGCATTGGTGTCACCTTTTAGGCTCGTGTGAATGAGGAGCATTGTTGTTTCGTCAAGTGATCCGAGAGAGTCGTTCCTCGCAATCTTCATAGTAAGGAGCCTTGACTGAGTAGTTGAAGAAGTCTTCTGGGAAGATGTCACGCATCGTGATGGGGATGGATGATCTTCGTGTCAAAGGTTCATTATCTCCAACACTTTCACATTGTTCTGGAGGTTGACAGGAGCTGCTTTGCCCCCTTTCCTATTGGTGAACTTGTGGAAGAGATGGTTGCTGCTTGGAGAGGCATTCCTCGCAATCTTTATAGCAAGGAGCCTTGACCGAGTAGCTGAATAATTTTCTGATGAATAAGAGATCGCTCATGGTCGATCTTTGTGTCGAAATCTCCTCATCTTCAACACTTTCACATCGCTTTGGAGGTTGGCGAAAGCTGTTTTGCCCCCTTTCTGATTGGTGCACTTGTGGAGAAGACATATGCTTCTTGTGCAGTTTCTTCGGAGTGACACAAGTTCATCCTTCAACTTCACTCGGCTTGATTGGCATGGTTTTGGAGCATGCCCCCAGCGATTGAGGTGAAGATTTTGAGTTGACAGAGCCGGAAGTGACGTCTTCTTCTAGGATTTCGTCTTCTTTGTCTTCTTAGGCCTCCTCTTCAGTACGATCTTCTTGGATTTGTTGGCGTGAAGATTCGCCGGTGTAGATGATGGTGCGCCTCCTTACCTTCAGTGGTCCTTTTGTGTCGACCTCCAAAGTTGCTTGGTGCTTCATCCTTGAAGGAATCAAGCTTTGAACATCGTCTTTTCCTGCTAGACTGTCGAGCTTTTCTTCCTTTAGCGTTGTCTTCCTGTTTCTAAAAGGCTTCTTAGTTTCTTCAAGTCTGTCCGAAGCCGATAGTTATGAAGGAGATCTAGCTGTGCCGCTTTGTTTCTTGGGTTTTGATAACCTTTCAAAGACAGATCTTTGCGGTGTTGGCGTCTTAAGCCTTTTGAAAACGGAAGTTCGGTCTCGACCACTGATGCGATCAAGCACCGAAATTCTAGGTTTTGAATGATTCAGCCTGTCGAAGACTGAAGTTCGAGGGGCGGGTTTAGGCTCCTCTTTTGGCCTTGTGGCTTGTGGTCTTGGCTTCCTCTTTTTTTTGTAGGTCATCGATGTCCACCTTTTCTTATCACCAGTAGATGCATCTTGGTTACTTGCCCCCGGTGATAGTTGTGTAAGAGGTGCCGTGTGACTTGAACATTGACGAGAATGGTCATGCATGCTTCGGAGATGCACAGGATCAAGTGATCCAAACACGATAGTAGTAGTGTGTGCCGTAACCGTGTCTTCGAGGTCAAGCTCGATTTTCCCTTATTGTGCTAGCTTCAGGATGAGATCTTTCAGTATGAAGCACTTTTCCGTTGGATGACTGATGAAACGGTGGAATTTACAGTACCTTGGACTATCAGTACGATTCATCTCTTTCAGCCGTCTGCACTCAGGTAGGTCGATCACCTTTTTGTCAAGCAAGTCTTTCAACATGGCAACTACATCAGAGTCAGGGAACGGATAAGTCTTCTCTTCGAGCTCCTTCAAAGTGCGTCTACGCATCTCTTGATCACGAAAAGCTTCGGCTTGAATCGCCTTGCCTCGTGTAGGGATTTTGACCAGAGCTGTGTTGACCGTCATTGCTTCCTTGGTGGGTTTCCATGCAGTCTTCTCCACCTTTGGCCCAACAACTTTGTCATTCTTGTAGTCGGCGATTGGTTCTTTCTTCCCATGATGGGCAATGCTTAACTCCATGTCATGGGCGCGAGTGGCCAATTCCTCGAAAATCCGTGGTTTAATGCCTTGAAGGATGTATTACAAACCCCATTGCATGCCTTGGATGCACATCTCGATTGAAGAGGTTTCCGAGGCCTATCTTTACTGTCGAGGCTTAGAGTGCGCCATCTGTTGATGTAGTCAATGACTGGCTCGTCCTTCCACTGCTCTGTGCTCATTAGCTCTAGCATGCTCACAGTGCGGCGGGTGCTGTAGAAGCGGTTGAGGAATTCCTGCTCCAATTACTCCCAGTTGTTGATGGACTCAGGCTCTAGGTCCGTGTACCACTCAAAGGCGTTTCCTTTCAGCGAGCGCACAAACTGCTTGGCGAGGTAGTCCCCTTCGATCCCTGCGTTGTTGCAAGTTTCAACAAAGTGGGCAACGTGCTGTTTTGGGTTTCCCTTTCCATCAAATTGCATGAACTTTGGCGGTTGATAACCCTTCAGCATCTTTAAGGCGTCAATCTTCTTTGAATACGGCTTCGAGTACAACCCAGAGGTATTTGAGCTCCCTTCGTATTGTGCCTTGATGGTGTTGGTGATCATCTCCTGCAGCTGCTGGATAGAAAGAGATCTCATGAGTGTCGCTGCTTGGTCTGGCTCAGGCTTCACATTGATTCTCTCCACCGGAGGCTCATCTTCTTCGCCAACTCCTCTTTTTAATGGATCATCTTCTGGGTTGGGGTTCTCGTCGTCCTGTGGCTCCAGTCGGCTGACGAGTGCAGCGATTTGCAAGTCTTTTTCTTCCACAATCAGTGTTATCCTTGCAATCGCTTCATTCATTTGAGCCAGTTGTTCTTCGATAGAAGTAACGCATATGGTCATGACTTATGCAACCAATAGACGTGACTTTCCTTTAGACATCCAGGATGCTGACGAAGAACGTCGTTGGCTGCTTTGGGATGTCATCCTGTGTGCTTCAGCATCATGCTTCGGTGCCTCCAGCGAGGTCAGGTTTATGACGGACTCGCGCCTTTGATGCTCCCCTTGCTCCTTTAGCGGCACCAACTTTGAAGTGGCATGTTGAGGAGCGGTTGTGGCGCCAATGGATGCTCCGTTCATGGTGGAAGTGCTCAGGCTTCTTCCCTTTGTGAGAACGGCTTGTCCTTTACTTGATGCCATTGATTTTGGAAGTGTGCTTGAATTTCTTGAACGGAGAAAGAGATGAGAGGTAGAGATTGTCCCACTGGGCGTGCCAAATTTGTAAACACGAAATTTTCCTGAAACAAGTGAGACAATAACACGTGCACAAAATAATATTTTGTATTTGATAATTTTGGTGTTAATGGATTTGTAGGGTTACAATCTCTTTCAAATTTGATCCTCTGATTCAATCTCCGTAAGGTGTGTATTTGTGGATGTGCGATTGATCCAAGGGCCGTCAAGGCTTGATCTTGGATGAACGGTTGAAAGTTTCTTCAAGGGCCGTTGAGGCTTGATCTTGAATGACGGTGATGAACTGATTTTCAAGGGTTTTTGGGCTTGATCTTGAAGAACAGTGATGAACGGATCTTCAAGGGCTTTTGGGCTTGATCTTAAAAGACGGTTGGATGTGTGGATTTGTCGACGTTGTTGATCCAAAGGGCCGTTGGGGCTTGATCTTAGGATGAACGGATGATGAATGATGAACACTTTCTTCAAGGGCCGTCGGGGCTTGATCTTGAATTGGTGAAAGTTCTTTAAGGGCCTTTGGGGCTTGATCTTGATTGGTGGAAGTTCTTCAAAGGGGCCTTCGAGGCTTGATCTTGAAGGTGGATGATTGTTGATCCAAGGGCCGTCGGGGCTTGATCTTAGAAGAACGAAGAACGAAGAACGAAGAGGGCTTTCTTGATTCTTCGGGAACCTGGATGCTTGAGAGCTTCGGAGTTTCAGAGCTTCAGAGCTTCAAGGTTTTGGTGTAATATCAATTGGTTTCCCTAAAATGAATGAAATGGCTTCTATTTATAGAATTTTCCAAAGCCAAATTTTGAATATATTATTCAGATGAAATAAATCATTTCTGCCAGGTGTTGACATGTGTCCTGTTTGATGACTTTTCTGATGATTCTCGATTTTTTGTTTAGACACATGCTACGTGTAAAATTTATGTAATACATGAGCATTGAAACTTTGATTTATCGGTCAACATTTATTTACTGAAATTTCGATGTCTACAAGCACACCCCATCATAAAAGGAGGAGGGCTTAGTTTTAATAGGGTAAAAAAATAAGGGCAAATTATAAGGGTTTTGTTTCTTTTAGTTTAAGAAAAATATTCAAATGCTGAAACACTTGCAAATCTCGAACCATGGCCAGTTGGAGTTGCAAAAACCCCACTAATCAATGAGCCACACGATCTAGAAGCTTGCAAACAGCACATATAAGAGGCTGAAATTTCAAGATAGGCCTGGGCCAGCTCTAGCCTCTGTGGCTTCGTCATTGACACCAACTCTAGTTCGTATTTAAATATATGAAACTCGGTGATAAGATCTTTGTTTTTCGGAATTTTGGGTTAGATCAAGGTGTAGAGTGGGTGATGGGGGTGGGCTCGGGTGGGGAAGACGAAGGGGATTTATTATTTTTTTATTTTTTTTACTTTTCTTTAATTAATTATTTTAATATTTTAAATTTTTTATTACATGTTTAGCCACGTGGCATAAATGTTGTAGCTACGTCAGCACAAATGGGGACCTTATATTTGCCACGTCATTACTTAACAGTTAACTTAATAAATTTTTTAATGGTTGTATGAAATTGAAAAAAAAATACTAAATGTATGAAATTGAAATGTTTTAAAAATGTATAAGGTTGTAATTGCACCGAAACTTGAGGGGATAAAATGTAATTTATCCCAAAAAAAATTAACACATTAGATTTGAATATTCCAATAAAAATTTAAGATCGTGACGCAAAATGAGATCTTGCTCTAGGCTATATAGGCCTTTGATTTATATCGACATGCCAAAAAAGAGGGTATGATTTTTATATGTTAAAACATAAGAGGCTTCGCCACTGACCACAATTCTAGTTCGTATTTAAATATATGAAACTCGATAATAAGATCTTTTCTAGATCAGCAACGAATGTCTTGTGTCTATGAAGAAAGATTTTTTCCCGAGTTCAAACCCTAAATGCCATACCTTGCTGAAGGCTATTCACGAGAGAACCGCCCATAATTACAAAAAACTACAAAAATCTTTATTAATCTAAACTACATATTAATGAAACCCTCTTTGTCAACCAAAAGATGATGAAAAGATACTTTTGTCTTCTATCACAAAAAAAAAAGTTAAGGACAATAACGCAATTAAACAAAATAAATTTTTTCTTTTTTTGTTTAAGCTTCACCTACAAATGATTTTATCATTTCTAATTTGAAAAATTTTAAAATGAAAAACAAATCTCTCTCCCTTTCTCCTCACTCTCACGTTCTCTCTCACCCCTATTCCTCTCTCCTTCAATTTTAAAAACAAAAGTAAAAAATTTCACACTTTGCGTGTGGGCATATACTAGTCACAATAATAAACTCTTTTTTATAACGACCCATATTAAAATAAAAGTTAGATCATAAAAGTAAACATGACAGGCAATTGAAGACGTCCAAAGCAAACTAGTTCAAGTGTGTCGTCGGCTCCCAAGAGGACTCCTAACCAAGCTGGGAATGCCTTCCAAAAGAGAAAGGGAGAGAGAACAGAAGAAGATTAGAATTATAGTTTTCTGGACTCTTAAAACAGAAGATGAATCCTCGAGAGAAAAGGAGAAAAACCAGAGAACCAGAGCCCAAGGCAATCACATACCTTGCACCACCCTTAGAAACTTATTACTGATATATGCTTGAAGATGATAAGTATTTCATGTTGAAACTGATTACACTGGTTGGACGTTTAATTTTATGTTGGTTCATGATAAATATTTCATGCCCCGTTTGATAAGTATTTCATTTTAGTTTTGCTTTTCATTCTTCTTCAAAGACACAGGGAATGTATATGGAGGAAAGAGGAACCAAGTGGGGTGGATAAAGGGTGGAGGAAGGAAGAAATGAAGGAGAAAGTAAGCTGAAACAAAAGAGTTCAAATTAATGTAAAACTGAGATGTGCATTCCTTCGTCTAAGATGATAAGCTTCTAAATAACAGAAACCTATCTGGTTTTGGCATAACATCGCTTTTCTTATTCGAACCAACCTGGGGAAAGGTTTGAACCTAAAATGATCTAAAAACATGCTTACAAGGATATGAAACCGTCTTCAACTACGCTGTCGATGGTGCAGTCCCACCATTTGCATAGACAGGGTGAAGCATGTGACCTTCCTTGGGCACGATATGCACCCACTTGCGTCCGCTGAGCTTGTGGTGTTCAAACTTAACAGAGCCTTCTTTCAGAGCAAAAAGGGTGTGATCCTTCCCTAAACCAACATAATTTCCAGGATGAAAACGGGTGCCTCTTTGGCGAACAATGATGTTTCCAGGTATCACTCTCTGCAACATAAACAGAATAACAACGTTACAGTGATTCCAACGGAAGAATTAGACAAGCTATAACGAACTGTCCATTATGTTTTTTTATACACAACAGACTCTCACCTCTCCGCCAAATTTCTTCACTCCAAGAAATTTGGGATTTGAATCTCGACCATTTTTGGTGGATCCAGCAGATTTTTTAGTAGCCCAGCGCCGAAAGGTCAAACTCAATCCTTCCGCTGTGACATCTATAATTAGCACATCAAGCAAAACATCAGAACTTCGAAGCAGAAACACAACATAATCATGCTACGTTCTAGCACAACTCAGTCAGTGATATTGAACTCGTACCGGAAGCACTGCTGTATACGGGAGTATTCGTAACAATGTTCTTAAGACCCAACCTACTGCATATTGATGTTGCAAAATTCATCGTCTTTTTTTTCCGGAAAGATGGGTAAAACCCTGAAAGAAAATCACCACAGAATACTCGAGCTGTGAAACCAAATCATTTCAGTTCACCAACATCAATGAGAACCCTCACCTTATATCTATTTATACATAAGTTGCATATCGAAGTGTAATTTTTCCAAAATTGGGTTTGCATACGCTCAAAAAATAACAAAACAACAACAAAGCCTTATCCCACTAAGTGGGGTCGGCTATATGAATCGTAGAACGTCATTGCGCTAGGTTTTGTGTCATTTCTTCTACGAAAAGGCTTCAGATCACCTTAAATTCCAACAAAAATTGGGGAATTATTTCAAGAGTGAAATTGAAACTTCCACAACAGAAACCCAGTTACAAACAGTCAAGAAATGGAGATTCAGATAATCTAATTACCACATAAGCACCAGTCAGCGATCATGGAGCAATACCCAGAAACCAAAACATATTAAAATTGAAAAATATCAGAAGAAGGTTAAGGCTTTATTATTTATTAATATTATTGAGTGAGAAGCCAAACCTGAATTTTCTGGAGTGTGGAGCTAAAGCTTCCACTGGGTGAGCTTGAGATGCCACGAACGATGCGTAAGGGGAGACTGAAGAAGAAATGGTTTAGGGTTGGGTTAGTTGGGTAATGGGCTAACGGGCACGTCTGTATGTGGTCAATCTAGGGCCGGTTACCGAACCGAAAACCATGTCCCGATTCTCAATCCGAAGTTTTCGGGAATCCCAATTTCAAGACCGATCCCAAACCAAATTTTCGGGAATCCCAAAATAGTTTTGGGCTTTTGGGCTAATCTCAAAATGAGAGTACATGTCAGAAGGTTTCCCATTAGGCCTAATCTCAAAATGTCGCTCAAACAAGAACTTCATATAAAAGCAACAGAAATATATCAATTTGAACATCAGAATGATTAAACTCTGAGATGGAAGTACTAAAAAATCAGCATTAACTGAAGCATGCAAGTACACAATGGCTAGTAAAAACCATAGTTCACAGTTCACACAAACAAAGACTCCAACTTTGGACCTGAACGAGAGTTTGAAATGCTTCAAAGTGAAGAAAACAGATTTTCTTATTATATGTTCCACTTGAACTGGGATTCAATTGTGTCCATTAACCGCAACCACCAGCCGGCCCCTGCCACCCTCTTTTTTCTTCTTTAACCACCTCATATGATATGCATTAACAACCAGCATTCTCGGGCAATCATAGTTTCTTTGGAACTGATAAAATCAAGTACCCACCTTTCGTTTCATGACGCAGTAAACAAAAAACCGGACTGCTAAAGAATTTATGAACCTCACTCACATTTCCCCTAATTTCCAGTACTACAAATGAACAACTTATTAAGTTACCATCACAAAACAAAACTACACAGGCCAGATTAATCACCAAAATTTCTAATTCCAGTCCGATCAATCAAACTAAGCAAAAATGTCGAAATCATTTACCTGATTTGGGGGAGAATCGGTGCACAGTGCACTGGAATCTGGATGAAGAAGTCGAGAGAGAGATCAGAGAGGTGAGCAGCGCCGGTGGCCGTGGCTCTGCCTCTGTGCCGTGAAGGAAGGCTCCTCCACAGTGAGGGTCTGAGGGATGAGAAGTCGAGAGAGATCAGAGAGGTGAGACACTTGTGTGATGTGGGTGTGGCCGGATTTTCCGGTGAGGTTGTCTGAGGCGAGGTCGAGGAGGGTGGTGAGGTTGTCTGAGGTGAGGTCGTCGAGTCGAGAAGTGACGGAGAGAGAGTGACTGAGTTGAGTTCTCTGAGGATTTGAACTTTGATTTGTATTCAACGGTTGAGATTAAATCTCAACTAAATCGGCCGGTTGTTACAATTTCAAATACCAAAATTTCGAAATCGGTTCGATATTGGGTATCGAAATTTTTGAGATTTTTGGTTTGGGATTTTTTGGGTTCGGGATCGGGATTTTATTGGAATTTTCGGTATTTTTTTTCCACTCTTAGGTCAATCCATTTAATTAAACACACTTTTTGATTCTTTTTTTTTTAATAATATTTGGCTTTTTGTTCGAAGACATGGCATTATTTGCCACTTAGTACTACGGTTTGGTGATATTTTTCTTTTTTACTTGGAAGTGAGAGATCTTAGGTTCGAATCTCGTGGATGACGAATTTAATACCAAATTAGGTTGCTCATTCTGTGGCTTAGCCGAACTCTTCCTCCCCTTAGTGTAAAAATATGATGTATTCAAAAACAAACATAACATCATTTTACATATAAACTTTATAATTTGAACATTTTATTTTCTTTATTACTATTTAAAAATTTGTATGTAATTTGGAGACTATTCAGTCATTTATATGAATTAATATTGTGAATATCACTTATTACATAAATCGTTGATTTGTTGACATAAATAGATGGCAAAACAGTCTCATAATTAAATGAATTCACTAAATTTTCATCTATCGATCCCTACATTAGCTAAAATTTCTTCAGCAAACTGAAATGAAAAAAACTTTCTACAATTACATCCCACACAACTCACAAGAATGTTTGTTAAGAGGAGATATTGAGTTTGAAGGATTGTTTGTTGTATTGTTGAATAGAAAAATGGTCACTTCTTTCCTATTTCATCTTACCTACAATATCAACTCTTCTTTTTCTTAACTCAATTGATAAGAAAACATCCAAATTATTTGTCAACATTATGACATAGCCTTTTTTTCTCCCAAAAGGAAAGACGGTGGTGTTGCAAAACATTTCAGGTTTTTTCGAGTTTTGTTCTTTTGGTCATCAGATAGTAAAAAATGTATGGTATTACTCACTTTGAAATTTAATATCACAAGTTGAGATTAAAGCATTCAAAACATATCTATATGCTCCATCCACTCATGATATCAAATTCAAAGTGGATGATCATGAATCCTTGATTACCAAGTGATCAAACGAATAACACATTTTTTTTTTAACAAACAATATTGTTGGAAGTTATTCCTTCCTTTCAAGTACGGTGGAAGTTCTTTTAACGAACAATAGGATAATTTACATTAAATTCATCTAAACTATGAAAATGGGGTTTGCACACTTGACCTCTAGTGCATGGGTCAATGCTATTAACCAACTGAACTATAAAAGCCACTTATAAGTACTTTGGAAGTTCATTTTGTCTCAAACTCTTCAAGTCCATCTGCTTCTCCATAGTTTAGATTAGCAAGACATAACCTCGTTATTTAAAAATTTCTATGATTATAATGTGCTTTTGATTTGTTTCCTTTGTGTTTGATACTTTTAATGGTAGGAATGTGGTTTGTTGTTTAAGTTGAGGAACGAGGATAGTCCATTTTGTCCATTCAGGACTATGTCGTATTGTTCTTACCATTTCATTATTTAGGAATTCGAACTTGAAATCTCTTCCAACGTCATTTGATCCCATAAAATCCATAGATAACGATTTTCTTATATCGTTCTTTGATTTTACCTCTAAAATGACAACTATGCATCCTCACAACAGCTAGCACTTTTCTTTTTGGTCGAACGCAAATGTTTTCAAGCCAAGTCCTGTCAAGCTTTCACACAAAAGTAGGGGCAAACCAATAAATTTCCAGTATCTTTGTATTTCGAATGAGCAAACTGCAGTACAACAAAATTCTTGCAACAGCTACAGAAAATGCTTATAATCCAAGGCGACAGATCGAGTTCTTCTTGATGAGACCAAGATCCACCTACAAAATAAGAGAAACGGGTGAAAGCCAATTCAGATGAACGAAAAACTACGGAAAAAATTGAAGAGCAAGACGTAAAGTGTTACCTTGTGTCCGAAAAGATCCCTGATGTTATCAATCCCATAGAGAATCATGGTCGGTCTGGCACAAATTAAAATCCACAAAAGAAAAAAAAATCAATTCAGTGTAGAGTTAAGAGTGCTCTTCAGCAAACCTTCACTTTAAAAAAGATAGCGATGAAAACAGTATCGATAAAGAATTTGTTCTTACCTTTCGAGGGAGAGGCCCCATGCAATAACACGAACATCTTCTGGGAGTCCCATAGGAAGCAGCATTTCAGGTCTAAACATGCCTGAATTTCCAATCTCTACCCATTTCCCCAGGCCTTCATGATAACTATTTGAGCAAAAAGGAAATTGTTTATCAGCTTTCAACTACAAACATGAAACAGCGTTTTCACCTTATCGAGAATAAACTCGCACCTGAAAATCTCCATGCTAGGCTCAGTATATGGGTTATAAGCCGGCTTGAAACGCAGTTTCGACATGCCTAAGAGTATAAGAATAGAAAGAAACAAGTTCCCATTATAGTAATAGTAATACCCAATCTCCAAAATCGCAATCACAAAAACCAAGACAGCAGCAAACTGCCAGCCAATATCTTACCCAGACGTGAGAAGAATTCTTTGAGTACTCCTAACAAGTCACCAAGAGCAAGCCCTCGATCACATACCAAACCTAAAACCAGAAGTAGAAATTCAGAGAGGCAATTGATTAACACAAACCAACTTAACCTAGTTTCAATTACTTCTATAGCCCAACACCACCAGTGCACGATGGATTTACAAAACTCCAAGTTATACTGAATGTTACTCCTTTCACTCTCATAGGTAGGGTGTTAAAGAACATCTGCTAGCCTCAATATAATAAATAAACTGAATGCTACCTTCTATCTGGTGGAACTCTGCAAGATGTGTTCGATCTACTGCTTCATTTCTGAATACACGATCTATAGAGTAGTACTTTTTGGGCACAAATGGTTTCTGTGAACAATGCAAAAGAAGGAAAAACAATTACAACTCTGGGCTGCTTGTGTGTGATTGTGTCAGCTTATGCAGGCACATGCAAAACGGAAAAACTAAAGGTGAAGCCTACATTGAAGACCTACAACTCCATAGGTAGACAGAAAATACGCCAAATAATTACTTAACAAATAGTTAGAAACACCTATTGGGGAAAAACTGAAGAAAATTCTTCAAAAACTTTTCAGAGCTGTATGTATGCTAGTTAGACCTTGACTATGACAAAATTTCAATTTTTAAATGTGTATTAATATGAGTACATACTAGTTAGCAAGCAAAATGTGATATTAATTGAAGCTGAATTACATTAAAAGAATCATGGTGCAAGAAAAATACCAAGACCAAAAAGGCATTGTAAGCAAATTAAACTTCACACCAACTCAGCATAAATTGAATACAAAGGTTACAGGTTGTGCCATTAAAAAGGAAAGGCGGAAGAAGGGGGAAATAAAGGAAATAAGAAGTTTCAAAGATTAGAATTTGAAGCTAACATAAAACAGAAATAATGAGTTGTCGATTGAAAGACACGAAGAGCATGTAGACAGTTAATTAAAAAAACGAACGCACCTGAGCTAGTGCGTACAGCATCCTGGAGGAAACAGCGGTTGTGTGAGTTCGCAAAAGATTTTTGTCTGCTTCCTCTCTTTTCCAATCATATCCATATCTGCCAAAAAGAGAGAACAGAAACATGTAGTTATATCAAATATTGTGGGAACATTAAAGGAAGTTAAAATGTCATACCCTCGGGATTGATAACCACCAGACTCATGAATCTGCTTCACCCGCTCAACGTAATCTTCGGGCAGTTGCTTGGTGGTTGAAGGAACTAAAAGCGAAAAAGCCAGCAAATTATCAGTTGGAAGAAAGATACACAAGCATTCAGGATAAAGCAAAAACGTCAAAGAGACCTTGTAGGAAAAATGTATCATGCGAATCACGAGCAGGGTGTTGCTGTGGCTGGAAAAGCGCATCAAAGTTCCAGAAGCTGCAAGTAAAGCAGAAACAAGCATTTTTCAGTATTTTACCATTAGTCATCATAAATAATGAGCTGTAAAACACTGAAATCCCACAGAAACAGTACAAATGGGAGAATTTCAAAAAGAAACTCTTCCAATAAGAGAGAGAGAGAGAGAGAGAGAGAGAGAGAGAGAGAGAGAGAGAGAGTTAGAGTTTTCACGTTAAAGTTATCACTCAAAGTGCTTTCCATATAGTCAAAAACATTCACTCAAATATCTACTTTATGGGAGGTTTTCGAAACCAATAGTTCAATATAACCTGGATATATCACTAAAATTTATTGTCACTCCAGCCAGATAATATAAATACCAATTATTAATAATCCAATTATTAACATCCACATCATTTGGTTTACAAAATTTGGTTTAGAAATTTGGTCTCCCTAGCATTACCCTTTAGCAATATGGTTACTTGTGATCGACTAGACTGGGCTAGAAGTAGTGGCCCTATCATAACCTACAATTGACATTGGAACCATTAAAAGTAAGACAAGTTGGTAAAAGTAAGAAGAGAGGCTACCTGCTCTCAACATAATTGTTTGTAGGCATCTCCTCAAACCTGCAGTAAGTACGAAACCCCATACATAAAGATAGACTTGTACATAGAGACATGTACATGTATATGTATATGTGAGAGAACACATTATCAGCAAATATTAGACAAGAAACAGGTTTTACCCCATCTGCCTGAAAATACCCTTCAACTGATGTCGTACCTGAAAGTTGCGAAATTCACTTAGCAATTCTAACAGCTATTTTATACAAAACTGCTTCAAACTAAAAGTTGTAAAAGTTCTACGTATACTGTAGCACATAATGACATTTTGTAACCTAATCTTCCTCTTAGAAAGATATTTCTATGGTGTATGGCACCAAGCTCAAATTGAGCACCTGCAGACTTTGGCAGTATCATTTGAAAGTCTCCTAAAACAAAAAAAAAATAGCATATC